TTTTGTACCTTTCATAAGCGGGTGTAATGATACAGTTGTGTACCTCGGCTCCTTAGCTTCTGAGGAAATGATTCAGGAGAGCATCTATTTGGAAGACTGTCAGTATATCCTGAAATTTCTTTTACCTAGGAACCTCTTTCAAGTAAGACAAAATAATTCCTGAACATAACACCACACAGGTAGCCTGGACTGCACTGCTTCCCTTCATCTGCTCCACACTCATGGCTGGGCTGTTAAAGGATCTGGGGGATTCTCCATCTATTTGGATAAATAATCTGATTTTTGTTAATTTCTACATCATGTTCTATTATGAGGGTAAGGGAATGAGGGAAAGGGGGGAAAAAGAGGCTAGGATAGGTGAAGGAAAAATATATCTTCTGGGAAAATAAATAAATAAATAAATAAATATAATTTTGGTGTTTTGCTTGATATTAGGACAAGTACTATCTGTCCAGAGTATTCCGCTGCCAAGTGAATAAGAAAATAAATAACTTTTTTGATATATTATTTTCATTATTTTCACAAAAACATTTGTGTTGCTGTTGCAAACGCTGACAGTAGGAACACGTGTACCATTGTTCTGAAAACACAGGTGATATCTTCCTAGCCAGAAAGGGCTGTGATTTTTCTCATGCTTTGAAATATTTTCTCTCCACACATTGCCTGAGATGTGGTCTGCTACGAGCACACAGTATTTCAGCATCCCCCAGCACGTTTTAAGGAGATGAGTTTAGTGCCAAGACATTCATGCACCTTGTCAGGACAAGAACAAAGTCCCATTGGATGTGGCTTTCACCCCCCAGCTGTGCACCACCTTCTCCATGTGCCTCTAGTCTCTGATCTCATCCCTTGCGGTAATTACACCATGCACTTGGCCACTGAGGTGGTGTGGAAGGGCTGACATTTCTCCAGAATAGAACTTAAATTCAGCACAAAAATGCCTCTCTGGATGCCGTGGTGGCCCAGCAATCGCAGCACTGTGCGGACATAGCCCGGAGGAGCTCCGTGGTGCTGGGACCCAGTCGTGCATCACGTGGCGCATTGATAAGGATGGACATTACTCATCAGTGCTGCCGCGCCAATGTGGCAAAACCGTCATGGTCTATTTTGAAAGCGTTATCTCACGCTCATTTCCTTGTACATCATGCGTTAGTCTCAACAATAAGCCACTAAAATAGGACACCGCTTGTTTCTAGGAAAATCTTCTGCTACTTGCCATCATTCAGCGTGTTTGCTTGTGAATGACAAGCCTGAAAGTGGCTACACAGCAGGGTTTAATGAAGCCACTTGGTAGCAAGTCCACATATGCCCCTGTGAGCGACTGACACTTGTCTATGCTCTCCTGTGTTTGGTCTTCACAAACTTTAAATTTCTGCCTAGATTTTATTCAAAAGATGATTTAATGAGCCACAGTCGTTTCTTCTCTTATTTCAGATCTTCAAGCCATTAAGGCAATGACCAGGCAAATTGGCACAATACTTGAGTTAAAACTGGCCAGCATGACTGACTGTAGCTTCGTAAATAATATCATAAGATGAATAAGGGCAAGGAACAGAACTGACTTTATTTGAGACCAGATTTTGACATCCTTCTGATGAACAATAACGAAGCCTTTGAATAATCCTGTTACTTTCATTTTATTGATTTCTGTAAATCCTCTTTCAGGGCAGGACTCAGCATAATCTGGGCCTTTATGATTTAATATCCTGTGGTGACAAGGCAACTTTACTGCTCCAAGTATTCTGAATATTTCATAACTTGACTCTGTCTTGATGTCTTCGTCTTCCCCTAAAACCTGGTTAGAATTTGTCTGTTTGGATCTATCATTTTTAAGCTTTCCCCTGAGTTTTTGAAGAGGTCACTGATTAAGTGCGATGCATCTCCTGGAGACAGTTTTCCAATATTTTAGACCAATATTTAAGCACAGAATGACATCTGCATTGTAGTCTGATGACCAGTTAAGTGTTTAGCTTGGAGCTATGACCATGTCTGAATTCACTCCAGCCTTTTTGTAATGAGAAAAACACCACCAACAAACTCAACATCTCTACCCGCTGGGAAATACTGGTTTGTTTCCACCATGTCGCCAAGACCAATTTTTCAACCCCATTCAGATTTAGATGAGGACTGCACCCGATTCCATGTCTGCACTGTGCATGCAGGCCTGCCCTAGCTGTAGCGGGTTAAAATGGTGTGCCAGGCCGGGGTGGTGCTTGGATGTGTCCCTCCTGGCCGTGAAATTTGCCCTGGTTTCAGCTTTTGCAGGTGACCACGCAGTGCACTGGGCCCTCAGTGCTTACATGTGTGCTGCTTCCATCGTGGCTTCCTGCCACAGGGGCTGGCACAAATCATTGCCATCGCTGTGTTCACCCACATGTATGTTAAACTTGCTTCTGAAGTGTGCTGATCCAAGTGCATGATCAAGGGACAGGAGCTTGCAATCTTCAGGCAATGACTGCAGAGAAATCAAGTTGTCTCTTTGCAGAGTCCCAGGTGCCCAGTGTGTCCCACATGTCCTGGTGACGGCTCCGTGTGACAACAGGCTTCCTGAACAGCTCCAGCATTGATGTTACGTTAGAGGTGAGTTACAAGTCCCTGGGCTCGGGCTGCCTTCAAAGGAGGAGAAAGCAGGGGCATACTTGGGTGGGCTGGTGGGATGTGGGCAAGGCAGGCAGCAGATGTCCAGAAGGAAGAATGTGAATGCAAGAAGTTGGACCAGAAAACAGTGAGCTTAGACCCCCACATACTTAGAAATACAAAGATATACAGGGGCCCACTAATACTTACATGAACATTTTCTGCTGCAAGTTTTACCCATATTTTACCTCACACCTTGCAAATAAGTTTCCTCTGCTTTCCACATTCAGATTCTTTGAGAGAGATAGAAAATGCTGAAGTCTTGCAATAAAATGCATTACCATAAAAGAGCTGCTGGCCAAGCCACACAGGAAATGCAGATCTATATTAGCATCTGAAACAGCTGAGAAGCTGTAGTCTTAAGGGCTGACCCTGGGAATCATGTATGAATATCTGAGTACAAGTGCAAATTCAGTCCTCGGAGGCAGAGGGTTTTCAGGAGAAACTTTCAGCTGTACCCCAGACAGCTCTCTGTGTTTGGGAACCTGCCTCATCTGCTGTCTTTAGGATAAAGTAATTTCCCCTTTCCCTTGCTTCCTTCTTCTTCCTCCTTTCCCTATTCCTGCAGGAGAGGGACAAGGTTAAGAAACAGCTTGTTGGATACCCTGGCTAAGGTTGGATTTCTGTTGCTATTAATATATGGGAACACTACAAACTCACGTTGAAATATACTCAATTAAATCAGTGGTATTTATCTTTACTCTTTAGATTTCATCTCCAGTCTTTTCTCGTGACTTTCTCCCATATTAACTTCCGTGGCAGGATGGAGGTTGGAGGAACTTATCTGTACAAAAAAAAATCTGAGGGAAGTATCATGCTTCTAGCACGTGTCCATAAACAACAGGTCTGTTGTTTTAAATCCACTTCACCTGAAACGTGTAATTCTGACCATCCTCTTACTGGGTAGAGGGGTCAGCCTCTCAAGGCTTGGTTCAGAACAGGCATAAGAAGGAGACTTATTCTTCTATTCTTCTCAGATGAACAGAATTAGTAACTTTTTAGTGTTTCCTGATGTCCGTTCCCCCCTGTTCTCTCAGATTAACCCTGCTCCTTTTCCTCTCCTGCTCTGGTTTCCTATCTGTGCCTGTAGCAGAAGTCCTCAGCAGGCTGCAAAGCATTCAGATGCTGTGGGCAGACTTCTGGGCCCAAAGAAGCACGTCCATCCTTGGCCGAATGCCACAGCCTAATGCGTTCTGCATATTAACTTCTGCCTCGCTCTCCCAGGTACCTTACGCAGCCCACGGCACCAAATTCTATTTCTAGAGCTGTAAATGTAAATCAGTGTTCCTGGTGGTCACGTTCCAGTGATATCTGCACAGATGAACACTGCTGCCTGATTTATGCACCTACTGCTGTAAGCCTGTATGTCTTCCAATACAGTGGCTTGCAGGGCCTGAAAATTAGGTTTACTGCAAATTTAAGGAAGCAACAAAAATTAAGAATTGGCTTATGAAGCAGTTAAGCTAGTTGATTTTACTTTGTAAATTAATATATTTATATAGCTATGCCTATGTGTTTTTCTGCTATTATACACAATAAAAAAGCTACATTTGCTGTGAGTTTTTAGCAGCCATTTTGGCCATCACCTTGTGGTGATATCTGTCTGTTAGTTTGCAGCTGGCTTTATCTTATAGGAGAAACAAACATTGTAGGGATTTTACCAGCATAGAAATGGACAGACTTATGTGCACTGATAACGTCTGCCATCATTTGGCTATGGTGACAGGGCATGTTCGCATTAATATTACATGTTGTGCTGGTCACCTCCCAGACAGGTCCACCTGCATGCAGAGCTGGTATGTGTTGTCCTGATTCTGCAGGGGATTTCCCAGGTCATGGCACTTTCCTCGGCAGCAGCAGTGCTCACATTCCTGGAAATCCTACCCCTGTGTAAGGTACCAGGATGCTCAGGACTCCAGCCTCATCCAGAGAACCAATTCCAGAAGCGCAGCACAGATTGCTGACCTGATCATGAATTCATCACAACAAAATGTTCTTCATTTTGGGACTCTGTACTATTATTCTTCATCTCAGGTCAAAAGTGATTTCTTATGGGAAAATATGGGAGTCAAATCCTTTCTGTTTTTTAACCGCTAGGCAATATCAGGGCAGAGGAAGCAGTACCAGCTTGCACAAACAGGCTGCAGAGCAGACGGACACGCTTGTATGACGGCGCGGGGTCCCTCTCACATATGTGCACACATGCTCATCCGCAGAGTCATTCCTAACCTATTACAGAATGTGTTTGTCTGTCGGCTCTCATATTTTTAGCATTTATTTTTGCGATACTGACTTTATGTCCCAATGAGCAGAGGAGACATTATGAAAACAGCAGCCTTGTGGCAGTGCAGAAGTATTTCCCATCTTCCTTCCCATCCGAAATTCTGTTTGGGAAATCGTAACAAACAGATATTTCTTACCTCTCATACCTGCTGTTTGGGTTTTACTGCAAATAAATAACTTGCAGGCAACAAAGCTAGGACTCTATACAATCCTCCAGATTGCTATTATTATTATTATTATTTTGTAATTAAAAAATCACTCCCTTGCTCTTTCTCTCCTTCAGGATAATTATTTAATGTAAATGAGTCCTCCTTGCACAGACACTGCCTCTCTTTCTCAGGCTTTTCATCTTTGCCAGGGCTGACTAAAAAGCCTGCCTATGGCCGAGAGCTCGGCTCATGTTTGGGAAGAAAACTGCAATCTGACGTTGCAATAGCAGCGGCATGAAGGGCCCCTTTGTGCTCCTCCTCGCGTGTCTGAATGCTGCAACCTGCCTGCCCTGGAGGCTCAGCCCCGGTCAGGAGGGCAGGATGCGCCCCTCTCCTGTCGGAGGCACGGTGCTGCCCGCAGCCCTGCCCCACGGCACCCAGAGGAAAACCCAGCCCAGCTGGAGCATCTGCCAGGGCCAGCCCATACGTCTCCTACCCAGTTTTCCTGCTCGAACAACGGGCCGGAGGAGCTGCTATCTGCTTAATTGTAAGGCTCGGTTTGTTTCCTTTGTTTTGATATAGCAGGCTGTTGTTACAAGGGACAACAGATTGTTTCTGATAGCAGGTTGTTGTGACAGGGCGAGCTGCCTTTAGGTGACATGCAGAAAACAGAGTTCACAGCTTAAGGACATTTAAGATGCAGGCTGTGAGCTGGCAGCTAAGCAGCAGAGCATCCCCGCAGCCTCTGTGTGTTGGGTAAGAACAGATATAAGAAAGCCTTCACAAAACCTGTCTGAATCTCCCGAGTGGTACCCCCACTCCCACAGCACCTCTGGCTTTCCCCTGTTGTAGACAATGAGCTTTCTGGCTCCCATCCCTCCTTCCTGGGTTTACTGAGCTTCCTGAAGCAGTTACATCAGTCTTGCCAGGAGCCCGTGAGGGCTGGCTCACTGCCCTACCCTTGTCCCCATTTTGAACCTCTCTCCTTGTGGGATGTTTGCTCTTGGGTCCCTGGTCCCCATGGCCATCGGCAAGGAAGAGATGCTTCAATCATACGGGAGCATGAATGAGGGTTCCTCTGAACTGGGCAGGCACCAGTACCAGGGGATGCTTTCCCTTGAGAGAGCACATCCCTGCTGAGAGGGGGGACCACAGTGCTGTAAAACACCAGTCTCTACTTCCTGCAGCTGGGTTTAAACAAGAGAGAAAGCCTGAGCCTGTGTTTGTCTTTCTGTCTTGGCACCTCCTTGAAGTTTTTTGGTAGCAACTGCTGAGTGCTCAGCACTTAAAAATACACAGATGTAACATGCAATTGAAGTCAAACCTAGGTTGATATTTTGTTTGTTTGAAGTCAGATCGCAGTATTATTAGGTGACTTGTCTCATTCACTCATCTCACTTACAGGTGATGTCCTCATCACCTGCCAAGTTTCCTGTCGACACTTGATGCGTCTGTATACACACATGTAAGAGCATACATTAATCTTGTATGGGGAAACAGCTATGAGGGAAGGAAGAACACTATTTCCATTTCTTGGTTATCAGGCAACACTTATCATGTAGCAACTTTCACTATTAGATTTTGTAGGAAAACAAACAACAAAAAAGAATAGATCATTTTCCTTTTTTTTTTTTTTTTTTCCTTCAGATTTTCTTCTTTACAAACTTCCTCACTAGGAAAGAAATAGATTTTAACTATACTGGATGAGGTTCTCAGATGGATTTTGTAATCAGAACACAGAATCCCTTCTGTGGACAGATGGATGCATTTAGGGAACCCGGACTGTCCTCATCTCAGGGCACTGTAAGTACAGAGATGAAATTTCTGAAATTATTGAATTTAATATGGGGCATACATGTGTAATTCAAGAAGCTTTTGAACAAAAATTAATTATGTAGGGATCAATCATAAGCCAGTTAATCTTTGGAAATCTCTCACATTTTACATACTCTACTCAGGATAAAGTCTAATCCAAGTAAATGAGGGTGAAACTACCATAATTTCTTCAAATTATGCCACAGATATTAACTAATTAGTTAACATGCTGGGTCTTTAAGCACTATGGAATTTAGAAAGAGCTTTAGCAAAATTTAGTGTTGTGTTAACCACACAAAGAGTAAAGCTCTTTCTTTGTAATTCTGGCAGTAACATTTTCTCAGATAACTGGTGTTTAGGCAGAAGAAGGAACAGGAACCACCCAAGTATCATTGTAGGATCACCAGCTGAAACCTGCAATCTGGAAAGCTCTTGGTAAAATGCTAATTGGTCTTACAGGTGCCTAAAACTGGAGGGTTCCTGATGGATGCCTGCATGGAAGCGTGCCAGTGGTGGCATGTCCCCAGCCAGCTGGACCCAGGACCTGTCCAGCCGTACTGGTAGGATCCTGTCTGAAAGCTGTTGGGTTTCCCATGGCCTTTTGTAACTATAGCTGATGTGGTCCCTGGAGGGATCTGTCCTGAGCTGCTGGCTTTACTGACATTCAACCTAGGTACTGCTCCACCTAGGTATTTGTTAAAGATCATGCTTGCTGATTAGGCTTAAGATGTCTGTGAGTCAACTGAACATCTTAAAATTACAGAATATACTGGACTTCTCGTGAAGCTCACTGTGCCAATTTAAAATTGATGCTGCTTCTCTCTATGCCTGGATTTCTCAGCCATGCTCTATTCCATCCGTGAATGTGTGTGACATGCATTTACTCCTGACTGGCAAGGTGTAGGCTGCGTGGTGCAAACATTTGCAGTGACATATTTGAAATTTGCTTTTTATAAATATTCCCTATGGGTTTCATAAAATATGAGTGTCTAGCGAACATCCCTGTCAGAAAGCAAATTCAGTAAATGTTCAGGGAAGAGGAGAGGAAGAAGACACAATAACAGCAGAAGTGAATTCAGCTGCTAGCATGAGTGCACATTGATAAACATTTAGTGTTTTAATTATTAGCCTGGCTTTTAATCTCTCTTTTGGGGAGGTGACTGGAATTCTGTGCACATCAGCAGACGGGGTTAACTAATTCTGCAGGCAGAAGACAACATCACCTTCTTGCAACTTAGGCTATCATGCTGTGAACAGCCAGGGTCCAATTTCTCAGGCTGGTAGACAAGTCAATACGCACATCTGCTATTGAGTGAGCTTCCAAAACGCCGTGGTAGGCTCAGTGTCTAAATCCTCTTGGATTCAATAGGAGAAAAATCATAAGTTCATAAGAGGACTTGGGTATCTGTGGCTGTCCTCACAAGGGCACTGTCTTCACTATGCTCTGTACACAGTGGTTTGAGGGTTTTTTTTTTTTTTTTTTTTTTAGTTTTTGTCCTGTCTCATTAACTTTCTAGCCCAGTCTGTCCAACAGCCTTGCTTCACAGTAAGGGATGGAAGGAGTGTTTTCCCCAGTGCTTCTCTCTACCTACAGCATAGTCTCTAGGGTTGCAGTTGGGACCCTTCACATTCACTATGGACTTGGGTGAGGGAGTCAGACTCGTAGAGTGTAGCATCTCACTGCCCTGGTGAGATTTTTATTTACTTCTAATTAACAAACAAAATATGTTGTAGAAACTCTGTTGGAAACACTGCTGTAAATTAGCTAATTGTATTATTAGGTTATCCTCCCCTTTGTCTTTCTAGGATTCTTTTAGCTCACCTTGGGTTCAAAAGGACTGTTGTTGTCTCTGTTTACAGGAGCTGAACCATTTAGCATCCTCTCGGGTAGCTGTGCAATGGCTGCTTAGGATCCTGCCTTGAGGTGCTGAACTCTTCTTCTAGGTCATGAGTGAGCATTTGCTCTTAACCTTAGTTCATGGACTGACTGTCCTCTCAGAGCTGGGTACTTCCTTACCAGGCACAAGAATACAACATTAAGGTCTTTGTGACTCTGTAAGGAGTCTTACTGACTGAAACTTCATGGAAAATCTCACCAGGCTTTCCCATAAGTCCTTAATTACCCAGCTCCATCTATTCCTTGGGTACAAGGATAGCTTTATTCACCCATATATCTTCTCTAAGCTCTGTGACACAAGTGCTTAACACAGTGCAGCTTCCTAAGTCAACAAGACAAAGTATTTCACGCTGCTCTTTCATCTGTGGAGGATGGCACTTGGCAAACAGGTTAGCTAGTGTGTGTATATGTATATATACATATATTATATATATAGGGTGTGCTTTGGCAGTCTTCATCCTTCATCTTTCCTTGCTATTTGGAAATAAGGTATTTACACATTTAAAATTTTTTTATCTCTGACTCATATTATTCAGACCATCCAAAAAAAAAAAAAAACATATGTACTCTCTACTGTGATTTTTTAAGACACTGCTTTTTTCTTTCCATTGCCATCATTTTTCCTGTTCAGATGACTGTTTCTATGAAAAATGGATCAGAAGCACAACTGATCAAATGAAAAACTGTTCAAAATGAGCCAGTTTGGTTCATTAGTTAGCCATTTCCTAGCAGAGTTTTAATATAACAAACACTAGTCAGCCAGTGGCAGAACAGCTTGTGGTGTAACTTAGTGCATGGAATTACATTGTGGTGTCTTTTTTTTTTTTTTTTTCCCCAAACAGATTCCTATTCAAGACTGAAGGCATGCCATAATGTCATAATTGATCAGATTTTAATGCCTCTGCAGTGTGGCCTCATAAGCAGATTGTTAGTATACATTCATTACTACATCCGAGAATGCTTCATAAAATCAGTTCTGGTATTAATTATTTAGGTAACTCGCTAGAAATGAATCTTCAGGGGATGATGAATAATATTAATGCAGTCATTAGTTCTGATTGATTTCTTCTCAGCTGACAAAAATGAACTTTAATTGTTAGAAGCCGCAGGCAATGCCAGGGCACCACAACTGTTCCCAAAACAGCTAATTTAAAGTGAGCGCTCAGCGACGGGTGTTTAGTGATCTTATTCTGTGCTGCTGTAGCTCTTTCAGAGAGAGTGAAAAGGAGAGGTTTACGGACTTTATTGTACCTGGGTTAGAGTGCTGGTTTGCTCACACATGGCCCTCATTTCCCTCACAAAACCGGAGCTGTGTAAATGCCTTCATAGCTGCAGGTGCTAATGAGGACAGAGCTATAGAAACGCCTCCATGTGAGCTTTCCATCTTAAAGGCTTCCCTCAGACAAACTGCAGAGAATTACCCAGGTGAGCAAACTCACTCTGAAGCCCGGTGATGGGGAAGGAGGAGCACGGTGCCCTTCCTTGGGGCCAGGGTTAGCATTTACATTGGAGGTGCCATTTATGCATGAGCAGAGCGCAGAACAGACCTTTAACAAAGGTGATGCAGAGGAGGGAGCCCTCGGCGGGGTGGATCTGGCTGGAAGTAGCTTTGCATCTTCCCTGGCTATCTTCAGGGGCAGAAACCCAGCCTGATGTTTTTCCCTGGGTACCCTGCATCAAACAGGGGCTCTCCCTGGCTGAACCCCAGCCCACGCAGGGGACGTGCCTTTCTGTGGCACTACTGGCTTCAGACATTGCTCCATGGCAGCAAATTCAGCCTTTCCTTGCCTCCTCACCTTGACTTTGTAGCTCTAAGGACAGATGTTGTCCCCTCATCCAGCTGTTGTCTTTGCTGCGAGGCTCGTGTCACCTCTGCTGCCCTGATGAGGATTTACCAGGGGAAGCAGCTGAGGGAGTTCCAGCAGCCCCTCCCCACCTCCATTAACAAAGCCGGTGCTAATTGGCACCCTGTCTTTGCTGATGAGTGATGGTCACCTAGCTGTGCACCTCGAGGGTTACACCTGCTTCTGCTACAGGCACCAGGCTCTGATAATAGATGGTCACAGTACAGCAGAACACAGTAATAGATCCTGTGAATACAAATTTGAAAAAAAAATCTTAAAAATCTACAACAATGAGTGAATTCTCCCCCCACCTTCCCTGAAACGTTACTCTGTAGGTCAAAACTTAAATAAATCCTGTGGCTTGTGTATGTAGATTAATTTAGATGATGATTTTTTTTTTCCTTCTGGCCACGCTTTATGGGTGAAATGCACAACTCCTTAACTATGCAGCTTTTCCAGCAAAGTCCTATTATTTTTCTTCTTGTAAACAGAACCAGAGGAAGATGGCTTTTGATTTACACACAAATCAATACTGCCTTCTGATTGAACCCTGCGCTGCGCTGCTGTAATTATATTCATGGATTTTGTGTAGGTGTAAGACAGGAAGCAATTATGGGCTGCAGCCATGAAAGGATATAAAAGAAATCTCACTCTTCCCTAGAACTATAACATCAACGGCACTCTCTGTCTAACGTCAGCCCCTTTCACATGACTTCTGCTAAGTGCACTGTTGTTTAGCTGAGGAAGAAGTAATAACAGATAACTGTGAGAGCAGTAACTGAATAACATCCGCATGAATGTAGGGTGCTGCAGTGTTTTGAACTTTTGTCTTCCTTAAAAAGCCCGTGCTTTTAATTTGTACCGCAGCAGGTCACGGGTTTTAGCTCAAGTATTTTCTTTTCTGTTTACCCCAAAGTTAATCAAGGGTGTAATTTATTCCGTAGGGATTCATCATGGGACCTTTGGAGGAGCATCTTTCCCTATCGGTTCCCAAGTGGAAAACAGGAGAAGAGACACCTGGCATAGGCGGGCGGAGGGCACCGGGCACCCAGCTGCAGAGGGTCTGGGCACACTCCGAGGAGTTTTCACTAGTGCCACAGTCAGGTCCTGGTGTCGCAGGACCAGGGCTCACCTCTTACTGGGGCCCTGGTGTGGATCAGCCCTGCTGGCTGGTCACAGCCCCAGCCTGAGCTGTGCCAGGGGAGAAAATACCCCAGACATCAGTGAGCAATCCCACTGGGCCTGGGGGCCCTCGGAGTTCACTGAACTGGTTTGCCCCTTCTCTTGCTTAGCAAGTTGCTTTTACAGAGGAATTGTATCACGGGCCTTGTATCACATCACACTTGTTATATCATCGGCTGGAGAGCTTCTATTTATGGCGTTTATTGCTTCCAGCTCTTAGAGGGCCACTTCCAACCAGCTTTAAAGCCAACGTGCCTGAAGTGGGATTTTTTTTTTTAAATGATAGTAATTAACCTTTGAATTGCCAACTTCACCTTTGCTTATTCCTTTCCGACAGGGAGTTATCTGCACACGAAATGCCTGTCTTTGTAGGAAATGGGAACCTGCTGGTCCGTGTATTTGCACTTACTGCTTAGCTCATTCAGGATGAAAGGCCAGGAATATGCTGACACTGTAGTATGTGTTGTCTTTTCCCTTTCCCTTTCCCCTTCTCTTTCCCTTTCCTTTCCTTTCCTCTTTCCCTTTTCCATTTGGGCTCAGGTTTTTCCATTATAAACCCAATTCCGCATTTATGTACCAAAGCAGATTGTCAACATTTTTATTATAATAATATCTATAATGTTCACAGACACGACTGAAAGAACACTGTTGGAAAGCTGTTGATATACTTGGGGCTTACATAAGGGTTCAGCAGGTTAACTTTCCCCCCTTTGATAAAGTAATAGCTGGGAGGGGAGGGCTGATCTCTGTAGCAGGCAGCTTCACATCTTCTCCAGAGATCCTATATCCATCGGATGTCCCTAGGGGACAGATTTAACCAATACTAAAGTCAACGGGTGGCAGCTGGGGCCTCAGGGGTCATGAGCACCACAGCTGCTCCCAGCTGGTGTGCCCCATAGTACAAGCAAGTCCAGCTGAGACGTGTCCCTGTGATGACACCACTGTTAAATTTTCAGTGCCTGTGATGCGGGGCACAGGCTGAGCATGCAGCTGGGTGTGCGGGCTGAACAGACTGCAGCCAACACCTGAGCTGGCACTGAGCCTCCTGAAACAAGTTAACGAGATGGATTTTTTCTGAGGACAGACAGATCAAAATGGGATGTTGGTATTGAGCTGGTGCTCAACATTGCACACCCAGACGAGGTGTGCTGGCAGTGTGCCACGAGGCCAAGACCCAAAGAGCTGCGGTCTGCAGGTCTTTGAAGCCCCAGCAGAGCTGTGTTGGCCTTGGGGAAGCTCAGCCATGGACAGTGGTAAGGAGGTGCAGGTCCTCTAAGCCTCCCAGTGGATTCACAGCAGCTGGGCTGATTCCCACTGCTGAGATAAATAAAGGGCAGCTGAAGGCAGATGCATCAGGCTGCCTCCATAACAAAACACATTGAACCTGTGCTGCTCTCGCTTGATTCAGCCACAGCACAGGCAGTGGCTTTGAGCAGATGCTGAGGGACACTTCATATTGCTGTGCTTCCAAAATAGCCAGTCTTTTTTTTTTTTTTTTACTACAGAGCAGGCAGCAACATATTAAAAAAAAAAAAAAGTATAAATAAATACACAAGGAGATGGGATGCCGCTCTGTGAGAGCTAACCCTCCCTCTCCCCTCCTTCAGCTCACTGAGCTGCTTGCCTTTTTTATTTTGGATTTACACCGCTGGTGGGAATGTACATTCCTCATGATTTCAAACAGCTGGATTCTGTATCCAAGGGCTCCGGCTCCCAAGACCAATCCAGATTTATGCAAAGTTTACACAAACACGAACACAAATAAATAAATAAGTGGGAAGTCTGGGAAGCACACCCCAAGCTTCTGACCCCTTCTTATTGGAAAGGGTTTTGTTGCTCCCGTGTCTCAGGGTAACCCTCAATTAACTCGTGAAAGGCCGGAGAGGCATGAATACAGCAGTGTTTGCTTTCTGGGAAGGATCCCAGCAGCTGGACTCTCCTTGGCGGGACACCACACAGTGCTTTGGAAAAAGCCCCCGGCATCAGGATCCAAAGGGGGCCGGGCAGGAGCACGCGGGTGTAAGATGCACATCGACACAGAGGGACACATCGGCTCGTGAGAGCATGGCCTCCAAACTGGGGCTCTGCCCGTGGGATTTTCCTTTCTGTCTTTTGTGCTTTTTCTGGGGAGGGGTTAGGGAGAAGAACATACTTCTCCCCCTCACTCTTCATGTTTGCCTTTCGTCATTCATTGCAATCTCAAGCTTCCTGTATTTGGGTAAATAATGTTATCATCTGTTTCCAGAAATGGTTTGGGACAAATTCTTCTTGGAAGTCCTTCCCACGCAGTTATATTTCGGTGTCCTTTATTTCCCAGGCAGGCAGCGAGACCTCATGGTTAGGCTATATCAGTTTCTCTTCCCCACCCATCAGCTGTCTACTGTGCTGAGATAGGACCACCTGATGCGATGTGTCGTAACAGAAAAATAATTGTCAGCAGCGCTTTCTGTGCCGCAGTCAGGAGGATGTGCATTTCCACTGACAAAGCAGGCTTTGAAAATTCAAAACAAAAGCTAAAATAAAGATTTCTGAACTGGCAGCAATGACTAGTTCCTGAGGAAAACCAGAGCTTTATTAGCATAAAAGCCCTCCGAATGGATTTGTGAGCTGTGTCTCTGAGATATCCAGGCAGTCACCCACGTGCCAAGAGCCTGACAATTTTGCATTCCGCTGCCTGAGGAGCCATAACTCACTTTAGCTGTTTTGCTGTGAGGAGAGGCTGCTGTCTGCAGAGGGCAAGCCTCCTCCCTCCCATCTAAAGCCAAGTGTATTGCGGAGGGCTGGCTTGCCCTCTGGAAGGCCTCGCTGACCAGAGGAAGAGCCTAAAACCCAGCCTGAAAGTCATAAGTGTGGTAAGGAAGATCACCACGAATCAAAGAGATGATTCACCTGGCCTCGGCCTGCTGTGGCAGCCCCGGTAGCGAGGCCGACTGCCTCCCCCGGGCAGACCGTGGCACGAGGGTTGGAGCCAGCTCACCCGCTGTTGCAATAAGGAAGATAACCATCTCCTCTGGCCAGGGCAAATGCAAAACTGTCTCGGGGCAGAGGCCAGAGAGGAGCTTCTTGTCACGGTCACGAGCAGTGGTCAGCCCGTCCACGGACCTCTCCCACCCCAGCGGTATCCCCACACTCCCAGACATCACTCTCACTACTTTGTCCTTTCCAGCTCCTCTCCACACAGCTGATCATAACAATGCCTAGGAGGCTGTTTTTGCTGTTCCAGTAGTAGTAATTTTTCCTTGAGGAGACGTTAAATGAGTCACCGGAGGGAAAGAGAGCATGTTGCTCCATGTCTGAGCCAGATGCGTCAGGTTCCTTGAAACCAGGGACTGCGAGCAGTTATTTGGTGAAGCAGAACACCAGGTTTACAGCCCCATTGTTTTTCCATTTGTTCAAAACAGAAGAGTTTTATAATAGAAGCATGAGGTGATTAAATATTTTAGCTTCATTATCTTAGCTAGGCTGTGAGGGAGGTCCAAGAACAAATAAATGTTAAAAACATTTTTCTCTCATTTTCTTGGTTGGGTGTTGCCTTCTCACAGACAGGAGGAGAATGGCTAAGGGCCTTGGCTTTGCAGTGGTGAATAACAGACACGGGCTGTGGACGAGAAACACTCCCTGGTTGAGAGTGCAGGGGTGTGCGATGGCACGCTTCACACTCTTACTCCTCTGGGGACCGTGAAGAGTTGTGTGTGGAGAGGTGGCCTCAGCTCTTCTGGCTGCAAGCATCCGTGGAAGTTAAATGTTAAATGTGAACTCCATAATATGTCATTAATAACCGTCATCACAATAAAGATTATCTTAGTTCTGTGTCTGCACAAATTGCTGGTATCTTGGGGATGGCTAAAATACTTGGACTGCATGAGCGCAGCACCTTGGAAGGCCAGAGCATGGGGCAGCATGGCACAGAGAAATCTAAGGAGAACCTTCAAGAGAGGCTAAATGTTACTGGAAAAAAAAAAAAATCTTTGATTGGTTTTGCTAATAAAATAAACTGAAAGGGGAGCAGAAGAATCAGTGAGCTGATGCTCTGAGTACAGAATAGGAAGGGCCCTTGATCTTGCTTGTGGCAGGGTGTTTTAGCACGGAAAGGCACAGCTGTGCTGTACAGAAGCAAGTTTCTCAGCCAGCGAGACAGAGGAGAGTGAGGAAGGCCTGAAGAAAGATCTCTGCCAACTCAAATCTGCCGCTTATGAGGTTCATACCTTAACTGGCCATGTTTCAGGCTTCCAGTAAAAGTGTCCCACTGGTCCCATCTGGATGGCAGGCTCCAGTTCTGCAGCTACGCCCTCCCAAGGTGCTTCACCCACAAGCTGTGCAAGATGCGTGGGAATAAGCGCAAACAAAAGTAACTTGTTCTTTTTTTTTTTTCTCTTTCCTGCCTGTTTTCAATTTTGATTGGATGGCAGCACTTAGAGAAAACGACTCTGTCTCTGGGAGGGATGCTAAGCTTCAGAATAGGGCATAAAAACAGCTGATATTTTAAGACAGATGATTAAAATAGACATCTGCGGGACTAGAAGACTACAGCTGCCTAATGCAGCTTTGAGAGTTGAATCAGCAGATTCAGGTACAGACGCTGCCCCAGTGTATTTCAGTTCTCCCTGTCATATTGATGCCTGCACAGTAACATACACTGAGATTGTATATTGGGGATCACATTGCAAATTACACTGCTGATCACAGGATACCTGCTGCTGCTTTCAGATATAGCGTGTGGGGTCAGGAGTCTGGTGTTGTGTGCCGGCGTCTGTCATGGTTTTCATGTGTCAGAGAAACCACAGACATCCAGTGCATCTCAGAGTGCCTTCTTTCGGCCCTCTCCAGCCCACCACGAAGGAGGCACCTAATCCAGTGGGGAGGAAGAGTCTAAATCCTCCTAAAAGATATTTTTCAACACAGAAGGAATGCAAAGATTTGAAACCAGATGGGAAATGTTAAGGGTCAGAAGCACAGGAGGGGGTGTTGCTAGCCAGGATGGATCCTTTCCTGTTTTGAGAAGAGGATTTGTGCGCCACGAAAGAAGAGCAGACTCCTCAGTAGCACTCAGGACTAACTTCAGCATCCAGAATTGCATCCGCAGAGCACCAGCTCCCATGGATTGCCTCACGTCTCTTGGCAGAAGAGAGGATCATTTTTCTCATTCCTTCAGAAAGCTGCGGTGGATTCATACCGTGGGTTCCCTGGATACACTTGCACCGGGGAAGAGGCGTCAGGCAGTGCAGGAGCACTGTGCTTCAGCCCTTTGAAGCTGGCTCTTTGTTCTGCGCTGGCAGGCTGCAGTGGCAGGTGAAAGGGGTACTTCATGCACTGTAATGTGAATTCCTAGCTCGTTGCTTTGCAGCCTTATCAAAGCTGGCAATACCCCCGCCTCCCCGGTCTGTCATCCTGGAGGAAGTCTCTCCATTGAGAGCCTCATGCTTTGACCTGCATTGTGAGAGGGTAAATTATGGTCCCATAAAGACCCATCTTGATAAGCTGGCTCAAAGAAGCCATGTGTGTGCTTTGTAAACCATGCTGATTAGCTTTCCTTTTAAAGTGGAACCAAGTCCCCAGGGTTTCTCCTGGCCAAAATGGGTTGATATTCAATACACTAGAAAGTGATTGTCCTGTAATTAAAGTAATTTCAGGGTGTACAGTTACTGACCTCAGCCTGGACACTTGAGGGTAGAATTGCCTGCCTGCAGGCTGCCTGAAGCCTGCTGAATTATTGGAGCTGCCTTTCAACTCTGAAAACCTGTCTGCTGTCTAGAGCAGCACAAATTTGTGCTGTCCCATTGCATTATGTCAGTGCTGGGCAAACCTTCCTACCTGGATCCTACCAAGCAGGGCTGTTTCAGCCTCTTCCCCAACTCCCTTTTTTTTTAGCTGGCTTCAGATATTCACTAAATAGCAACACATTCATTTAATGAATAAGGAAAGGTGGCACGAGCTGCAGTTGGTGCGAGTGTAGCTGCTTCAGGACAGTTCACTGGGAGCTAGAGGTGGCTGCATCTCCTGTAGGCACAGCTGAACCACTTGTAAACCACCCACTGAAGGTGCCACTTGCAGCTGGGCTGTCTGGTGTTGCACGCTGTCTTGGCTGTGGATTTGAAAAGATGGAAGGGCACAAGGGCATGGGGTACACCAGGAAGGGCACATGAGCATAGGGTTCACCTGGAAAGGTACATGAGCATGAAGTAGACCAGGAAGGACACACAAGAATGGCATGCACCAGGAAGGACACAAGGGCATGGAGTGCACCAGGAAGAGCACACAAGCATGGGGTGCACCATGAAGGGCCTGGGCACAGCAGTGGGGTCTTGGCTGAAGCCCTTTCTTGGGGGCTGAGGTGCCTGCCCACTCGCTGAAGGGGTATTTTCCACAGCATTAACCTGAGAGATGTGCCCCTGCAGACACATCCCATGCACAACCTGCCTTTTTTTGCTATGCACTGGAGTCAACCTCTTCCCATTTGTCCGTTGCCTTTTAAAGGTTAATATTTGATATTTGGTCTCAAGCATTCATTTTCATTGTTGTATTTTTGAACTCATGCACTCAGTGCAGGTTTTCTGTTAGAGCTTCAGCTATGTGGGCTTCAAGGCACCGTTGAACTTTACTGCAACAAATTCCTGCTTTTTTCCTCCCTTCTTACTTAGGAACTCTTGTCTTTAACCCAGTGAGTATTAACTAGGAATCTTAATATAATTGTGCCTATTTCTGTAAACAATTCTGAACAAAAGGGAATGCTATCCAACATTCTAGTTTTATAAGAACATAGATTTCTAAATATTTACTAAATTAGCAAACTGGCCAAAAAAGAGAAAACTTCCCAAGAGAGACAGACTGGCAGTGATGTCAGCTAATGTTAAGTGTTTTGCTGGAGTAAATGCTCTCACATGTCTTTGAGGATAGCTAGCAACAGGATCTGACAAAGGCAACGCTGACATCAGAGGTACCCCAGTTTGTATTATTTACTGCCAAAAAAGCCAACTGGTGCAGAGTCAGAGCGAGGATTGCACTTCTGCAGAATTCCCTGGTTGGGCCTTGTTGCAGAGAAGCTGCAGAGCACTTGATAGATGCTGGCTGAAGCAAGTTCTTGCCTCTGGAAAGCACTGCCTGAGTCCCCCTGCCCTGCTGGCAGCTGGCTGGTGGTGCTGAGCCAGGATGGCAAAGGAAGCCACTGGGCAGTGAGGGCAGTGAGGGAGGTTGCCCAGTCCTAGCTGATGGTACTCTGCAGTCACCACCACATCAGTGTCCTTTCTCTGAAATCTTTAAGTTTTCTTAGCTTACTACCTTATACACATGAGATTTTGTGTAAAACTGAAAAGGGAGTGAGCTTGTGCTAACTAAGCAGCATAAGAAAAGCCCGGGAGACATGAAAAATGAAATACCGATAAATCAGGCCTGGAACAAAAGCTAGTTTTACAGCGATCCAAAGGGAGACATGGTTACATGATTTTACCAAGGTGGTGCAATTATTCAGCTTCATGGATGGAAACTCCAGCGAAAAACTAATACCACCCACATATAGCCTATCCACTTCTTTCCTTCCCAGTGATTCTCCAAAGGGAAAATCCAGCCTGCCCTCATCCCAGGGCTGCACAGTGAGAACCAAGACTGCAGGCAGTGGCTCACGACGTGAATTAGCTCACAGAATCACAGAACATCCTGAGTTGGAAGGGACCCACAAGGATCATTGAGTCCAACTCCTGGGTCCCCAAAGGACCCAAAAAATCAGACCTTATTGTCCAAACGCTGCTTGAACTCCAGCAGGCTCAGTGCCATGACCTCTGCCCTGGGGAGCCTGTCCCAGTGCCTGAGCACCCTCTGGGTGCAGAACCTTTCCCTAACCCCCAGCCTGACCCTCCCCTGTCCCAGCTCCATGCCGTCCCCTTGGGTCCTGTCGCTGTCCCCAGAGAGCAGAGCTCAGCGCCTGCCCCTCCGCTCCCCTCGTGAGGGAGCTGCAGGCCGCCATGAGGCCTCCCCTCAGCCTGCTCTGCTCGGGGCTGAGCAAACCAAGGGACCTCAGCTGCTCCTCATACATCTTGCCCTCTAGACCCGTCACCATCTTTGCAGCCCTACTTTGGATGCTCTCTAATGGTTTTATGTCCTTCTCATGTTGTGGCACCCAAACCACACACGGTGCTGGAGGTGAGGCTGCCCAGCGCAGAGCAGAGCAGGACAATCCCTTCCCTTGCCCGGCTGCCAGGGCACTCTGCTGGCTCGTCTTCAGCTTGCTGGCGACCAGAACCCCCAGATCCCTTTCTGTGGGGTTGCCCTCCAGCCTTGTGCCTCACAGTCTGTACGTACAGCTAAGGTTGTGCCATCCCAGGTACAGAATCCGGCACTTGCTCATGTTAAACTTCATATAGCTGGTGATTGTCCAGATCTCTGATTTGTCAAGATCTCTCTGCAAGGCCTCACCACCCTCTGTGGAGTCAACAGCTCCACCCCATTTGGTATCGTCCACAAACTTGCTCAAAGAAAACCTTACAGTCCTACATCCAAATCATTTATGAAAACATTGGAGAGGATTGGTCCTAAAATGGAGCCTTGGGTATCCTCATTAGTGACAGGTCACCATCCTTATGTAACCCCATTTACAAGAACTGTTTGGGCCTGACCCATCAGCCAGTTGTTCACCCTTCTTACTATCCTTTTATCTAACTTTATTCTGGTCATTTTGTCTAGTAAGATACTGTGATAGACTGTGTGCTGCTCCTGGACATTTCTTTGTTTATGTTATATGGCTGCGTCACAGCAGGAGAAGAAGGAGCTCACTTTTTCCTTCTGTCTGATTCAGAAGAGTCCTGACCTTGGGGCTTATTGCTGGAGAAGAAAAAAATTCAGTGGGAACTTCCGAACCCTGAAGTGCGCTCTGTGTCTGCCTACTCCCACCACTGGACATTGGTTTCATGATAAAAATACCAGACAACATTATGACGTATTAGGGAAAATCTGACTATGATATGCCACTTGCAGAACATCCACCATTAGCAGTCATTCTGCTATATTTAATAAAAAATAAAAATCCAAGAGCAAAATCTTGCCTTCCAAAAAGTCCTTAGTGCTGTAAGATTAACAGTCATGTTTCCTGTAACTGTTTGTCCAGCTTGGGGAAAATTAGTTCATGCCAGGATCTTGCAGTAGATTGAACTGTGAAATTTTGCAAAGCTGCTCAGCACCCCAGACGTAGCACACCTCCTGTCCCTCCCTGGCACTGGGCTGCCTGGGGGCCACCACATGGGTTACAAGACTTGGTTCCTTGACTTGATTGGTAATGGCTGCTGGCTTTGGAGACCCAGATTGCTTGGTTTTGGCCAGTGACGTTGGTGAAGTGTTATTGCAGTTTACAG